CCGACTGACTGACTGACTGACTGACCGACTGACCGACTGACCGGCTGACCGACTGACCGACTGACCGACCTAAAAACCTTCAAACAGTTCGAACGTGTAAACAACAGAGCTAGAGTCGTGCGGGTTCTTCTGTACATATACTTACCAGGTAACACGCAATGCTTGATGGAATCTTCCCAATATTGGCCAGGAAGAGGGCACTGTATTCTCGTACCTATACCATTCACACATACGATGTATAAAGTATTGTTGAATGGATCTCTAAACTTGCCATTGGCCTTTGGACACTCTGTTGTTTTACAGGTCAACAAAAAAATCAGTTAGCCATATTCTACTTGGTGTATTTGAAATTCAAACTACAGGAGTTTTCTTATTTTTGAAGTGTATCACGATACTGTTACACAAATTCGTATTCATAAAATGGAGCCACCCTTCCATATGGCAGCCGATTATGTTAGACGCGTGGAGCATTATGGGATCGTACATTGGACTTACCAAATATGGTTAAATTGGCTGTGAAACTATGGCTGTATCCCGGTTGCAAAGCGCTAGTGATTTGACAAGTATAGCTCCCTTCATCTGACCTCTCTGCATTCCTTATGGTTAGAATGGATTCAAACATGGTGTATCCCTTGTAATGGCGTTTAGGTAAAACTGTCACAATATCATGTGGGACAATCGACCCGTCTTTGAACCAGGTAAAGTTAATTGAGTCTCCAAATGCCTGGCATGTGAAGTTAAAGCTCTTGTCAAGATTGAGGTTCTTGGTGTGGGGCGAAATATACGCCTTGGGATCCCTGTGTCCTCCTGGAACAAAAAAAACCCAAATTTTCAGCTTTCGGTCAGGAACGAAAAAAAGATCGTTGTCACAAACAGAAGGCCAATGCTGTTTTTTTTAGATGCATTTTTTTCTTATGCAAATAATGTGAATTTCCAGTCTATAACTGTCTGTGGTTTTCCCACGGATCGTCTTGCGTGTCTAGACCGCTATTAGGACCATAGCAGTAGTCAGATAAATAAGAGCTATTCATTTAGTAAACACCAACCTTGCAATACGATAAGCCTTCCCATATTCATCGAAATAGTTTTTCCATAAGTTGATACCGCTTTACAGGTGTATTGCCCGCCATCTCGTATGGTCACCCGGTGGATAACGAAGTTCGGTCCGTCCTGTACAACCCTAACACCATCAGGAGTGACTTCCTGCACGTTTTGGTGTGAGCGTTGAATCCACAGGCTAGTGGACGCAACGGGGTCTGTAGTATTACACTTGATCGTAACCGATGACCCAACATCACCAACAAAGATGGTTTGATGCCTCGATATAAACTCGAAAGCTGATTGGTTATAAAAAGAAAAAGATTTATGATTTGATGAGGGGAAAAACCACAGGAAGCCCAAACATCGCTAGAATGTAAAACAGGCTACTCTTAAAAGCTCCTAGAAAACAACCCCAAAAATAAAATAAAGAAGTGAAAAAAGTTTTCGAGTTTCCTCATTAAGAATGTCGGTGATCTTCCCATGGGTCTGGGTCGAGAGACAACGCTACTTTAAAACTGTTTAACTTGGGCGTAATTTTATCCCCATTTCAGACCTCGTGTCATTCCCTAGAGTACCATTTCTTTGTTTAATAGTTTAACTCAAACAAATAATCTTACAAGAGAATGACATGTGGTCTGAAATGGGAAAACATTACGCCCATGCAAGCCAAAAAGTTCTATTGATAAAACCCTTACACACAGAAAATCAACAAAAATAAATCTAAAACTTACGTTTAACGATCAATTCAGATGGAGTTGGAAAATATCCCATTTTATCCAAACCAATGAAGGGATAAATCTGCACTTTGACACGGCACTGATAGATACCACTTTCACTAGTTTCCAAGTCTGACACGGTCATCACACTAGTGTACTCGTTGCCATTTCTTGATTTGTTTTGATGGGATAATTCTTGCGTGTCTTTGTGCCAAGACACTCTTGCGAATTTGTCTGAAGTAGCTTGACAGGTGAAAGATGCGCTCTCTCCTTCAGGAGCTGTAATTATCTTTGGAGACACACTGAATTTTAAATCTAAGTATTCTGAAAGTTGAAGAGTACTTAAGTTTAGTGGCTGGAATAATGGAATAAAGTTTGGGGAAGATTGCCCAAGTAACAGAGAAGACGCAGCAACGGTACGATTACATTGCGAAATTGACGGGTTAACGTCGTCCAACACAGGACCTATTAAACCTAAGCTAAGTTCCAATTCGATCTGGGTGTAAGTTATAGCCTGGCTTTGATCAGCCAAGAGGTTGTGTCAGGGTTTGGTAACTAACAAGTAAGCTTGGCTTGGGTGTAGCAAGGGCGGATCCAGGGGGAGGGGGGCAAAGGGGGGCTGAAGCCCCCCCTTCAGCAGAAAAAAACGATGCTTTTTTATATTGTTTTCCGTTGTGTTGACGGAAGAAACTCAATTAGCCCCCCCCCCCTTAAATTTTGGCTGGATCTGCCCTTGTGTAGGTCTAGTTTTGGGGCGTGTGATCGAGAAGAGACAGCGTTTTCCGTATTCAGTGGGAATTTTAATCCTTATAATTATTTAAGACAAAAAAATCATCAAAATGTTGTGCGCAACGTTGCTGCATGCAGAGTTTTCGAGGGATGTCACACGTAGCAACATTACCTGCAAAAAAACTAACTTAAATTAACCAGCAATACAAATAAAAGTCGCACTTCATTGGCTTACAATATCACGTCAGCAACGTTGCAGGTCGTGTTCATACGAAGGATTTGTCATGCACAATGTTGCAGAGGCAGATCTCGATTCTACTTCACCAACCATGTACGTAACCTCTGTAGGTTGTGTTCATATAATGGAACTAGCTGTGCATAATACTCTAGACAATGTTGAGCGCAACCGTTTTAAATAAGTTATGAGCATAACGATGCGCGTAAAGACGGCACCGTGTGTACAGTTCAAACAGTTAAAACAACTTATAGAGCAGTTTTTGAATCACTGTGAAAAGCTCACGGCACGAACATGTTCGTGACACGGCAAGGCATACGCCAGACCAATCACATCGCGCGAGAATTTACTCTTCATCCAATCAAATGTCCGGACCACGGCACGGACACGGTGGCGCCGAGGTCAAGGCACTGTCAGACCAATCACATTGCGCAAAAAAAAGAAAACTCCTAGAAAACGTCACGGTCACGGCACGGCACTCTTACGGCACTGAGATTTTCACATTCATGCGAAAACTGCTACAGCATATACTTACGAACAGAAATAGCCCTTATGGAGCCAACTGGAAAAGATTTCTTCAAACCATTTCCGAAAGACGTTTTGCACCTGTAATCTCCACTTTCGGCGTTGGTTATATTGTATACTGTGAATATCTGGCCTATTTCAGCAACCTTAACACCATCTGTTACCATATGTTTCTCGTCATGATAAAGCTCAACTTTAGCTTTTTGGTCTGATAAAATACAGTCGAAGTCAGCGGCACCTCCTAGAGGTACAAAATAGTTGTTTTGAACATCGTGGATTCGCGTCGGCGAACCTGGAAATTAATCAGTCAATCAATCAATCAGTCAATCAATCAGTCA